TCTAAGATAGTACTGTATGTATGTAAATGCTGTACTGTAGATGGTATGTATATTATTTTAACCATGGAAAGCTCCCACACCTTCCCCTATGCGTAATATTTTGCTTGACAGAGATTGAAAGTTAAAGGCCATAGCTCTTATTTACAAGTTGACATTCTAATATAGCCTCATTCAAAAGCACGCACAAACACTACCAAACCATTTGCCTTTCTTCGCCTGTCTATCTTACCGCTCTATGCTAACATTTCCCAGTGGCTCACAGTAGCTTCCATGAAAAATTCGTACTTCTCACCGGTGTGCTCTGCCTTGCCCAGAGACCAGGTATCTCTTTATCTCACCATTACAGAGGTGCCCTCACTCATACACAGATAGATTTCTTGCCTCCCAGCTGCTCACTCCTGTGGCCACCCAGAGTAATTATCAAAATTGCCATCTGGTACAGGCATACCCAATTATTCCTACCTTGGTCATGTCCTACCACTTCATCCAGTCATTTATCCAACCATGACACTGAACATGTCATCCCCAATATCCAATGAATGACTCTAGCTGGACAGAACCACCTTCGGCAAGCTATTGCATTATACTGTCATGGTTAACCACATCACTCTTGGTGAGCTTCACAAAGTTACCCACTTCCCTTTTAATTGTCCTTTTGCTCTGTTACACAGCAAAGTTTCTGTGTATGAATACGTACCTAGATGAATATTATATGCAGGACCGCTGCAAGGATATTTTGCACCCTAGGCGAAACTTCCACCTTGTGCTCCCCCTCCCCATGCTCCTCCCCTCCCCCGGAGCATAAATTAACATGCAAAAATCATATTTAATGCAATATTAATGTTGCAAGCTTAAAATATACAAATACCATGAAATTAATAACATAAGGTTTCAGAAAAAAATAATTCATCTCATTTTAAATTACTTTTTAGTGAGAAGGAAAAAATCAGTTTTGGTTTTTCCTGGAAAAAAAAAAAACCCAACCGAACAGCAAATGATAGTTCCAGCTCGTACCAATCTTATAAACAAGAAGTTAAATAATTAATTGCCCAAAGAGTGATCGAAAATACCACATGAGAGCAAGTGACTATTTCACAATGGGAAATTTACTAGTAATTTTTCTTGACTTTTATTTCAGTTAGCAATTTCATTAATGTACTTTTTTTTCCCGGGGGGAGGGGGCAGCATCCAAGGAAATAAACAGTCAAACAAGAACAGAAATAAAATAAAACAAAACAGGGGGAGAATTAAACAGCAGAACAGGAGCACCCCAGGGGACAGCCAGTGCCAGGGCGATGGAGGCTGCAGAGCACCCGAGGGAGCCCTACAGAATCTTTTCTGTAAGAAGGGCCAGGCTGGGGAGCCAGACATGCCACCAGCACCCACCCCACACATGTGAAGTCCGACCCCAACTGTTGGAACCAGCCCCCTCTGGCTCCGTGGGGCAGGGACCCCGCCCCCCGCAGCGTCTTTCTGTCTCCCAATGCCAAAGCCCCGGCCTCTCTTCCCTCCGGCTCCCTGCTGAGACCCAGCCTCGGCCTCCACGCCGGGACTCCTGGTGCGCGAGTGAGCGCCCCGCCCTGGCCTGGGCGTGGACTGGGAAGCCCCCAGCAGGACAAGCCACCTCTAGTCTCCTGAGTCGAGCCAGCCCGGCCCGCCTGGCTGCGGGGGGAGGAACCCGCTGTCTCCTCCCCCTGCCCCGCATGCTACGCGCTGAGCAGAGCGGAAGCGGCAGCAGGCGGGGGTGAGAGGTGAGTGGCAGCCACTTTTTGGCACCCCCAAATCTTGGCACCCTAGGTGGCCACCTAGTTCTCCTAGTGGTTAACACCAGCCCTGATTATATGCAGTGGTGTTGTAGCCGTGTTGGTCCCAGGATATTAGAGAGACAAGGTGGGTGTACTGACTATTTATGCTAAACTATCTGTTCAGACCTGTGTTTAGCTGTGACACTTTGAATACCTTTGCCAGACTTGAAGAAGAGCTCTGTGTAAGCGCGAAAGTTCGTCTGTCTCACCACCAGAGGTTGATCCAGTAAAAGATATTACCTCACCCACCTTATCTTGATGGATAAATGAGATTACAGCTTTGCATCTAATACAAGGGTGTGCGCAGATAGGCATTAGATAACTAGAAAGAAATTAGACTTAATGTTTCAATAGCTGGATGCAGCAGAAAGGGGGAGGGAGACAGTAAGAGCTGTATCAGTCCTTGATTCCCTCCCTTGCCCCAAGCTCAGTTTAGTGCATCCTGGGGGCTGCTCCAACATGCACCTGCTGTCCTCAAAGAACCGTCTGCCAGCTGTGCATAGTCAGAGCACTGCATGCTCCAGCCATGTTTCGTCCCTGTCCTGACATGTCCATGGCACTTGGTAGCTGGGAAAGTGTTTGGGAACTAGCTGACCTAGCTCTGTGCCTGCTTGGAACTCCCCCACTCAGGGATTTCCCTACATCTCCCCTGAATTCCCCCATCCCCGTCCCCGGTGGTCAACTAGTTACATGCAATGTTGCCAATTTAGTCCTTTTCCAACCCCTCTGTAAATGTGAACACCCCCGCTAATTTCAATTCCTGGAGAAATCCCTCCCCCAACTCCCTTTTTACAACCTTAGTGGTACAAAGGGAACAGAGAATTTGTTCCTTGATCTTGAAAGCAGCCAAAAGCCGTTCTAGGAAGAGAGAGAGAGAGAGAGAGAGTCCTGAAAAGGAGCTATTTTTTCTCATAATAGCAGTTAATTTAATATTGTTGCTGACACTCAAAGCCCAATTTAAAACTTTTAGAAGGTAAAGTTTAAACCCCATTCCTATCAATTTAATAGGCCCTATTAATTAACCGGCTGTGCAAAGATTTGTAGTAGGACTGTCAATATTTTAATCTGTTTTTAAAAGGTTAAGAAATGCATATTATCCATGAAAATATTATTGCTTACTTTACGTATTTTCAAATACATAAATCATGGAGAGTTAGAACTTTTACCATGTTGTAAGACATTGCACTACATATCTTTACATTTCAGTACGAACACAATCCAGTGGATGATGCCTCTGCACCCGTACTGTGTTACAGAGGTATGAATACAAGATATAAGATATATTTTAAAAGGGGAAGACAATTGTTATATTACTGTAAAAGACTTGTACTTCTTCAGCCTAGAGGTAGCCTCTAAGACATCAAACTTTTTATAAACCAGAAAAGATATCCAGACCATGTAAAATTGGGACGATCCCGTCATTTTCCTGTCTGTTAATTTTTCCATTATAAGTGTGTCCAAAACTCTCTGAAATACTGAAAGAAATACTGTCTAGGGGTTCAGAGAGGCATTTTTCTTAAGATAGCTCTTTTTGACAGATAAACCCAGAAATAACACAAGTGGTCCCATAAAATATTGTTATTCATAATCTTAAAAATTAATTCTACATCTTGTGACAAAACACTTTTCCTTTTCGGGTGTGCTGACCACAGTGCTGGTGAAGTTCAGGTTATGGTTCACTGATTTCAGTGGATCTACTCCTGATTTACACCAGAATAAGCAAGATTGGAATTTGGCCCAATATGTCTAGTGGTAAAAAAAAATACACCAACGAGCAGGAAAGCTGGCTACCCACTGATGTTTTTGGGTGCCTTAATTTTAAGGTGACCAACTGTAGAAATTGTTTTCATTTTTAGAGGCATTGAGCAACCACAACTCCAAATTGAACCCTACAGCGCTACACTACACACTTACATCAGTACAACTATGTCACTCAGGTGTTTTCCACACCCCTGAGCGATGCAGTTATACCGACCGAACTCCCAGTGTAGACATGCTATATCGACGGGAGGGCTTCTGTCACCATAGGTAGTGTCTTCACTAAGCGCTACAGAGGTGCAGCTGCACCAAGCGCTGTAAGTGTAGACAAGCATGAAGCCAAGAAGACCTACGGGTGCTCAGCATCTCTGCACTCAAGAGGTCTCAAGTTGGTCAGCCAAAAACTGGGTCACTAAATCAAGGCTACTTTCTGAAATGTTGGCCTGGATGTGCACCCAAAATTTGAGGCACTCGAATGTAAGAGAATGCACGTTGGTGTAGTGTCTCAACTGTGCCATTTGTGTCTGATTTAGAGTAAAAGATAATGGGGGAATAGCAAAGGGAGTGGTAAGCTGGGCGAGTGGAATACCAAATTAGTTAGCTACATCGAGGTAAAATTACACTGCCTTGTTGCCACTAGGACTTCTCAGTGTAAAAACAAGTCTTTTTTTATAGTGAAGACATAGGCCCCGGATGAAGCTATCTATTTAGTTTAGTTTCCAGTTCCTGTGTCTCTCCTTTTGACCATGAGGGACTTTGCCATTTGTATTAGTTTATTTTTTGCAGCATGAGTTTCAACGACATTTCAACCCCCCACATCATTCTTAGTGTAGATTTTTAACACAGTTTTGCCTAATTCTCCCACACTCAGACAGCTCCAGCAGTGGGGGATTGGGGAACAACCCCCAGCTGTGTGTGTGTGTGTGTGTGTGTAACCTTTACTAAGAGGAGTTCCCCCCTTTCACTCTCTGTAGAGTCTGCCTCTTCAGGGGGTGGTTCATGGGGAGGAAGTCCCCCTTTGCACTCTGTGGGGATATGTGAGGG